GAACCAGTGGGGGATTATCCCCCTGGGCCTGGGCAGTGGGGCTGAGGCGGAGCCCCCCGAGAGCAGGGGACACGGAGCCCCCCGAGAGCAGGGGGTACGGAGCCCCCCGGGTGCCGCACGGGGCCCGCAGCCGGAGGGGAAGCGGGACCGTCGCAGGGTCCGTGTGTGAGCCCGGTCCCCGAGGGATCCCCGGCAGAAGGACCGACAGCCCAGCACCACACCGCTGCTGCCGCCCTTGGTTTGCATCGGCAGAGAGGCAGATTTGTGGGGTTTTCGATGGAGGAATCTGCCCTGTCCTGCGGCTGTGGGAGCTGCCTGGTTGGTACCGCTGGGATCCCGACAGGAATACTTCTGCGAAGTCCTGCAGTTCCCCAAAAGTGCCCATAGCTGGCACTCGGCGATGCCTGTTCCGGGCAGCCGAGCAGCAGGAATCCAGTCCTCCCCTTTGCACAGCACAATGAAAAGTTAACAGAAGCTTATAAGGAAGGAAAGAAGTGGTTCTTTGCTTTCGAGGGCTGAATCTTCAGGTTGAGATGCCTGTGATTCTCTGCAGCCATGTGACCACAGACTCTTCTAAAGAGAAAAAGTTCAGAATTACAGGCAACACATGGAGACAGGGCTTTAAAAAAACCTATAAAATATTACAAGGTTGGCCCCATCTTGCCCCATTCTTGCAACTGTGTGTGAGTTCACTGTTAGAACACTGTGAACAGTTCTGCTTCTGAGGCATGGACCAAGATAGAGCCCAGCTGGCTCTTCCAGGGCTGAGCGGGCTCAGCAGGGCTGACAGGGAGTATCAGGCACACAGAAAGTAGTTTAATCAGCAAAATCATGAGCTGCAATGCTGTGAGACCTCGGGGAGCAGAAGTGGGACAAAAAGAGCTCGTTTACACACAGCTGCTTCTCTAGAGTCATGGAATATCCTATGTTGGAAGGGATGCACAGGGATCATCAAGTCTAACTTCTGACCCTGCCCAGGACACCTAACAATCTCACCCTGTGCCTTAGAGTGTTGCCCAAACGTTCCTTGAGCTCTGGCAGCCTTGGTGCTGTGCCCACTGCCCTGGGGAGCCTGGTCAGTGCCCAACCACCCTCTGGGGGAAGAACCTTTTCCTAATATCAAACTTATCCCTCCCCTGACACAGCTCCAGCCGTTCCTTTGGATCCTATCACTGGTCACACAGAGCAGAGATCAGAGCTGCCCATCCACTGCCCTTCCTGAGGAAGCTGCAGGCCCTGATGAAGTCTGACTTCAGTCTCCTCTTCTTCAGCTGAACAAGCCAAGTGACTTCAGCTGCTCCTCATACAGCTTCCTCTCTAGACTCTTCACCATCCTCCTTTTTTCCAATACCTTCAGATCCTTCTCATAGTGTGGCTCCCAAAGCTGCACCCAGGGCAGGTTGATTCCTGCAGCTGGGACTGGCTGGGAGATGAAGTCCCATCACAGCTCCTGGAGCCACCAGCATTGCCCAGGGGGGCACAGCTCCTCAGGCACCTGCATGCTGTTGACATTTAAGTAATTAAAAACAACCAAAAAAGGCATCAGACTGCTGATTGGAAAGTCACCTGGGGCTAGAGCAGCACTACTGACACCACTACCTTTTACATCAAGTCTCTGTGGTTTAGAAGTGCTGAAAATGATCCCCAAACCCCAATGATCCCTTTACATTGGAGATGAACCAGACTTGCAAACCCTCATGAGCCTCTGGCTTTAGCAGGCAATAAGATTCCTACTAAAGGACAGGAAAGCCTTATATGAGTCTTTGTTGTTGGTCTGCACCTTGCTGGGAAGAAGGATGGGTGACTGTCTGCTTGTTGGATTGGAATTAAGATCAGGGTGAGGCAAATGCTGCTGCCATCTCAACATTAGGAGTGGCAGCATGGCAGGAGGTGGGGAGGGCGAGGCTCCACCTGCCCCTTCCAGCTGCAGCAAGAGGTGGTTAAACCACAGGGTGAAACCATGGCAGAGGTGCTGGGGCGAGGTGATAATTAGCAGAAACTTCCTGACAGAGATAAACCCACTCCACTGCTGACACCCAGGGCTCAGGTGTGACACTGGGCATCACAGCCCAGCCGCTCCCACACCCCTATCCCACTCCCTCCACACCTCTGTGATGGGTTCCTGCTGCCTCACCTTCTGAGGAGTCTTGCAACAGGGCAGCTGCTGGGTAAATCAGTTCCTACCTTCTCTTGTGGGTGGTTGGCTTCCCAGTAGATCATGTGGCAAACCAGCTGAGGAAAAAGACCGAGGTGTGTGTATCTGACTGTCTTCATTGACAGCAGCTTGTGCTAGAAGAGGCAAATGCAGCAAAAAGCCATATTCTGTTAATGTAGCAATGAGACCCTGCCCCAGTACAGACCTATTCTGTCCCAGTTGGCCTAGGAGACATTTGTACCAGGGACTGGATTTTAAGCTAACAGAGTCTAAATGTGTTTCTACCTCATGATGTTGCTTGCTGAGGAAATGCTGGGTACCTCAACAGGGCACACATGCTGAGTAACCTTTCAACTGGTGCAAATTACTACTTAAAGATTTAATTACAAAAGATATATAGGTTAAAATACCCATGTGATGTACAAGGGGCAGTCGCTGGTAGTCACAGCTCTGCCACCAGTTTATTTTGGGGACCTTCAGTGAAGAGGCATCTTGCATAGGTGAGATGTAGCAGAAGTTACAGTGTCAGCACTCATTGCTCAGGCTGATATCAGGTGAGGTTCTGCAATACATATTTCTTTTTTACTGAGAGTCCAGTACCCATAGGCTGATAAAAATAATCTTTCAGGCCCTGGGATCTCCTGCTGGGTGTCTTTGATAGCTCTGTCCGTAGCCCAAGGGTAAAATGCAAGGAGGCATCACACTTCAAAGAACAGCAAGCAGGAAATAAAAAGAAGCAGGAGATAAACTTCATCACTAATAAACGTCCCCACACTTTTTTCTGATGTTATATTACATCAACTTCCTTCTCCTGCGTGCTGCCCATGGAGAACAGTGCTGAGCTGACACAGGAAAATCCTCCCTGTATATACCAGGATGTCATGGTTGAACCTCAGCTGTTCACTCCTCCCCAGAGGGAGGGAAAGAGAATCATTAAGGGCAAAAGTGAGAAAACTTATGAATTGAGATAAAGGCAGTTTAATAGAGAATGCAAGAGCCACACAAGCAAAGCAAAACAAGGAATTCATTCCCCTTTCCCCTGGGCAGGCAGATGTTCAGCCATCCCCAGGACAGCTGGGCTCCATCATAGGAACAGTTATTTGGGAGGGCAAACGCCATCCCTCTGAATGTCCACCCCTAACTTCTTCTTCCCCCCAGCTTTGTATGCTGAGCATGATGCCAAATGGTCTGGGATACCTCTGTGGTCAGTTGGGATCAGCTGTCCTGGCTGTGTCCCCTCCCAGCTCCTCATGCACCCCCAGCCCCCTCACTGGCAGTGCTGGGTGAGGAGCAGCCGAGGCCTTGAGGCTGTGTAAGCCCTGCTCAGCAGTAACCAAAACATCCCTGGGTTATCAGCTCTGTTTGCAGCACAATTCCAAACACCCCTGTACCAGCTACTCCGAAGAAAAATAACTCTACCTCAGCCCAAACCAGCACAGGGGTAATGTCCTGCACAAACATTTTTGAGTCAAGGAAGAGGAAAATCTCCCAGTGTTCCCAGTGTAAGCCTGAGGATGTTGCTATGCTGCTGGAAAAATACATAAATATCCAAGATCCATCTTCAGCTCTTCTTGTCATTTCTTTGGAGCAAAGATTCCAGGAAATGAATCTGTAGGAAATACAGGTTATAAATAGATTCCCAGACCTTGTATCTTGCTGCAGCCAAAATCCCTGTAGAATTCCCATGGCTATCAGCAAGATGGGGTAGGAAGGGACATCCTGAGTAACCTGGTTTAGTAGAAGGTGTCCCTGCCCATGGCAGGGGGTTGGAATGAGATGATCTTAATGCTCCCTTCCAACCTAAACCATCCTGTGATTCCATGCTTCTGTGTGACATGTCCTGGAGAGACGATGTCCTGTGGCACTCAGAGTCAGCTCAGCTGGCAGTGAAGGGTGTCGGGGTGCTGTGGGCACACTGATCTTGCTGGGGTTCCCAGGAGTTCAGCAGCAGGTTCCCAAGCTGCAGGTCACAGGCTACTTGAGTTCATAACATCATGGAATCATAAAATCATTGAGGTTGGAAAAGCCCTCTAAGATCATCGACTCCAACTATTAACCCAGCACTGCCAAGGCCACCACTAAACCATGTCCCCACGTGCCACATCCACATGTTTTTGAACCCCTCCAGGGATGGAGACTCCACCGCTGCCCTGAGCAGCTCGTGCCAGGGCTGGACAACTCTTCCAGTGAAGAAATCTTTCCTAATATCCAACCTAGACCTCCCCTGGCACAACCTGAGGCTGCATCAGCTTTGTAAAACTGGTTCACTGAAAATGCTGAGAGCATAGACACTCTTACTGGGAAATACTCTGTATCCTCACCCTCTTCCTGGATGTTACATTGGATCAGCCCTCATTGAAATTAAATACAGAGGACAGTGGAAGTCTCCCTTTATGGATGAGGAGGTTCAGAGGCATAGCAACATGAACAATATGATCAAAGCAATGTTCAATTTATTATTTAAATCAGTTAACTTTTATACAGTTTGGTTTGCTCAGGGTACCTGCTCACAACAAGATGATTGGATAGCTCAGTTTGTGCACACGTCTCATGCTCTCAGTTTATTGGATCTGAGACTCTGTCCATGCGACCTGAAATCATCCTTGGCATAGAAACCTCTTTCTAATTAATCTGCTTTTAGTGGCTTTACTAAATTTGCAGGTGTTTCATTATCTTCAGTTTCTCAAGGTTTTCTTTCTATAAACATATCATGTTCTCAAACCTTATAATTAGACACACAGCTAACAAGTATAAACATCACATATTTTCACACAGCCTATAAGTGTAAACAATACAGCCTGTCACTTCCATGGCAAGCAAGGCCTACAGAGTGCAGGAAAAATTGTTCAGAGAAATCTCTCTGTTCCAGCGACATCCCTTCTGTGAAACCATGAAATAGGTGGGACTACAGTGTGTATCCAATTTGGAAAAGAGAACAAAAAAGTATCAGTGTATACTGTTTTATATTACAATCATACCTGTGTGTTAATATTGCTGACTGTCAGAATTGGCACACATTAATTACCTACCTTCTGTTTTGAAAGATGGGCGGGCAGTATTTAGAGGACTAGATGAGCAAGGAGGCTCCAGG